GAGTGAACTGCAGAGCCGAATATAAATGTCACTTCTGCCTTCTGTCACGCTCACTGTAGAGCTCGGGTGCAGCAATACGGTTTCAAATTTCTGTTATGTCCAACTGTTTGCAATCTACGTCATGTTTGTTGTAGTACTGTGACAGTGTGTTAATGGGTGCATTCATGAAGGAGCTGGTGAAGAAATGTCGCCTGTGACCTCCTGCATGAACACACTGGTCTGATTCATGTCAGGTACCAACATCATCTTACACTCAGCCACTTGTTTCCAGACATTCTGCAGGAAACGATCACAATTTAACAACAACCTGCTGCTTTTCCAAGAAAACGTGACATTTTCAGTATTAGATTTTCAGGATGCAGCTTCTTTCTGCACCGGTTTAACACACCTGTGCTGTGGAGGTTTGTTTGCATCTCCATCGATTTGTCAGCCAGTAAAAGAAGAACAAGATTTAGAAATAACTCACGCACACACACCTCTAATTCACATACAGTTTCTAAAGCAGCATTTCACCAGGAAAACAGAAGGAGAAATTCTCAGCTCCTGTTTGAGGCCAATGGATGTTGTGCTAAGCTTTTTACTGAGAAGGAAAAAGAATTTCTGTAGCAAACCTTCAAGTTTACATGACAAAGAAATACTTTAGCAGACTTCAAAAAGAAACGAATGAGTCAGGACTTTGTCAGTTTTGTCATGTAACCTCTCTGAAGGCGTTATTAGACTTTTAAATTCATTTTTATTCATCAACAAAAGACGTGAACTTCCATCGGCCTCCAAGAGCAGATGAATTTGTTCTTCATGCTGAACACAGAATAATCAGCCAGCTCTTTCCAGGTTTGGACCCATGTGATGTAAGTGATTATGAATCTGTCGACTCTGACACCACATGCATCTTCCTGTCTGCAGATCGAATCAAGGCTGTTTTTCTAACTTCCTAGATAATGTACAAACTATAGTTCCACCTTAAAAAGAAACTAGATCCTGTCCAACAGGCGGCGTTATCCCTCCAGCAGGACGTGCCAGCGGCAGACCTGCTGTCCTTGACACTCCTTCATGTCCTGCCAGTGGAGCTGCTCCTCATCGCCGCTGCTGTTCTGCCCCAGAGCGATCCAGCCCACCATCTCCTTGCGCTTCATGCTGCGGCGGTTGTAGATGGAGACCAGCAGTGTGACGTCCGACAGCTGGAACAGTGCGACCTGGAAGACAAAGGTCTCCTTGTAGACGGGGTTAGGTTGGCCACGGCGCACCGACGTCTTACATCGAGCGATCTCCTGGCCAACCGAGTTCAGCAGAGTGAGCCGGCCGTAGGTGTCTGGACCAGAAGAGAGCACAGGTGGAATTATCTTGGAAGATGCTTTGTATTATGCTAATTATACAGGTGTTTCTGTGTCACAGCTCTATACCTTCTATATCTACAGGCTATATCTTCCAAAGTGTTGAGATGTTAGACTTTCCTCACCAGCTAGTCTTGAACTGTGTCTGTCTGCTGTTTGGATTTTAGAGGCTTTTCACTGAACACAGCAGCTGGTAGGAAATGCTGCTAACAAACACTGAACATGAACCACAACACCGAGCTGACAGTGGCTAAAAGGTCTGCAGGGCTGAGGCAGGTGTCACAGCTCTGTGGGTTCGTCTCCACGTGCAACTCCTTTGATTTTTTTTTGTTAATATAAAATATTATTTTAGAGCAGCTTTAACGTCTTAAATGTCCACACTGGTATCTGCCTCAGACCTCCAGCGTTACTCAGGTCATGTGTATTATAGTGTATGTGAGTGCAATGTTTGTGTGTGAGGCTCTCTGCAGACCTGGTGGCCTGTTGATGGCCAGGTTTCTGAAGTGGCTGCCCTTGATGAGCTCCACAGATATGCGCCCAGTGGTGGCGTTGTAGGAGAGGCCAACCAGCAGCTCGGGGACGCCGCCGTGGGTCAGAGACTGGGTGGACGAGGCGCTGTCGCTCTGAGACACAGCAGACAGACTCAGCTGGGAGTCCACACTCTGAGAAAACACAGAACAAATTTTACTGTAGCTAACAAACGTTTGTGTGACATCTCAGACTGATCGAAACTCAAGTTCTTTTATTGTTTTCCTCTCGTTTCGCCCATTTTTCCTTTTGCCACTGCAGCCTCAGTCAGCTGACGTCTAATTCATTTGTGTTATACACACATGAGTCATTACTTGTGCTGTTGGCCCAAACCACAGTTTATTTAAAGAATGCATTTGTATTTTTTTCTTTCTGAACTCTCCAATTTTCAGGTTCCTATAAATCACTGCTCTCAACATGGTTTGCAACAGTTTAAAAACTCAAAGCTTTGGTGCAAATTTCTTTTGGTGAGAGCTCAGTTTTCCCTCTCACTTCTCCTTCTGGTGGGAATTCTGGGATTTTCCAGCTTCTGGTTCAGCCTAGTCCCTCACTTCCTCTCTTCCTGTCAGAATTTCTCCACCTTAATTCGGAAGACAATCCAGGCGCATCATCTACCTGCGCTGGTTTCACTCGACCCCCACCAGCATCTAGACTCTGGTGGTTTCTCCTGGGTCTGTGCTTATTGCATCACATCAATGGGGTCTAATCACTAAAATGTTCTTCCCTGTCGTTAACCTCCGTGAGTGTTGTCCTACACGTTCAGCTGATCTCTTCTGACTAAAATGTTATGTGAGATTTCCAGTCATATGACAGAGCCCCACGTGCAAAGTACATTATCTCAAACATTTTTGACTTGTGTGAATCCATCTGTACCTCAGTTTGTGCTGCAAAGGACTCAGTCTCTTTGTGTCCACTGGCATTACATGTAGTCGCCTTGCTTTTAAAGGGAGGATGGGGGCTCGTGCTCAGTTTGAGTAATAAAAAAAACCTGCAGTAGTAAAAGTCCTAACTCTGATGGAAGAACAGCGTTGTTCCTGTTTCAGAAGACAATACAATAATAACTATTCCTAAAATGAATGAGCACATTTTTTTTGCCTCAAACTCACCTTGAGGTTACTCCGAGGCTCCAGAACCAGCGTCATCTCCATCTTCCCTCCGTCCGGGCTGAGCTCCCCTAAACACAGCACTTTCTCCCCCATCATCTGTTCACGGGACATCCTGCCTCCGAGTGCGTACAGCCTGAACCTGATGGCTGACGTCTTCAGGTCGGACGGTTCCAGGCGTGAGAAGCGAAAGTTCTCATTGAATTGCGGCAGTGAACCTTTCTGCGCCGTTGTCTTCTGGCGTTGCTTCTTGGACGGCAGCAGGACCATGTGCACCTGCCAGCAGTCCATCCCAGTGCGACCCTTGTCGGGGAGGTGCCGGGCCTCGATCACAGAAACCAGCACCTTCTGCGTGTCAGGACTGTACTCCAGGGAGAGGGCCAGGTCTCCACATTTAGGGATGGTGGCTGGAGGGGAAGAGCTGGCCAACTGAGACGAGTCCTCGTCATTGGGAGGCTGCTCTCTCTGAGGAGACCAAAATCAAGTTGATTCATTTAAAGAATCTGCAGTTCAGATGTACTAAAGGGATCAATATAAAGAAACTTCTGCTGGGGGCGGTTGGCACACAACAAACAAAGACTCCTGCCTCTCACTGTTTCTGGCTAAGAAACAGTCCTGCACAGAATAACCTGGAAAAAAACAGCAAGTTGTCATTTTTACATAAAAAATGACACATGAAGCACTAGTTAGTGAGCACCACAGGGGCTGGTGGGCACATTTGGCTGGTTCCTCATGGCTCCTTCCTCTTTTCAGTTACATCTATTGAAGCGATTGTACAGCTCATTCAGACACTGCTGCCAGAGGTTTAACAAGAACCAGAAGTGAGCACATCACTCCTGTTCTTACAGCCTTACACTGGCCTCCAGTCACATACAGATTAGATTTAAGTGCTGCTGCTACTTTACTTTGCTTACACTTAATGGCTTGGCCAGGTCTCCCTTGAAAAAGAGATCTTGATCTGAATGGGACTTCCTGGTAAAAGGTTAAATAAATAAATAAAAACAGGAGGGGCCCAAAACACGTCTGCTGTCTTGACTGATTTTATTCTGGTTTTAGTGCCGTTGACGTTTCTCTTTACCTGTTTAAAGCATTCTGACATGTGCTATATAAATAAAGCTGCTTTTCCTTCATACAAAACCCATATGTTGAGGATTGAACACTGGACACTCATACGAAGACCTCAAACTTCTTGGTCGCTTTATTTTCACACTAATCAAAACAGAAAATGTTTAAACTACTTCTGTAGCTACTTCCACAGCCTCTGTTCACTCAGTATTTCCCAACTGCTCATATTTTAACTAAAACATGTCTAAATAGAGAGGCAGAACAGTGGTTAGCACTGGCACCTCACAGCAAGAAGGTCCTGGGTTCAAGTCCCGGGGCCTTTCTGTGTGGAGCCTGCATGTTCTCCCTGTGCCGCCCTGGTTCTCTCCGGTTTCTTTCCACAGTCCAAAGACATGCAGCTCAGGTTGACTGGTGACTCTAAATTGTCCGTGTGTGGTTGTCTGTCTACATGTCAGCCCTGTGTGACATGCATATAGGATAATGTCTGTCAGACACAGTCTGTGTATTTTTAAAAATATATATAAAGTTTTAAATGAGGATCTGATTGTTAGTTTCTGATTTTCAGAGATTTTCTACTTTGCTATCAGCTGTGATGCATGTCAAATTACTTATAGAGAGTAACTGAGCTTAAATCCTGTCATAAAGCAGAGAGAAGCCCTCCTCCTCCTCCTCACTCTGCCGATCTCAGCCTCCTGCCCACTCAGCAAACACAACACCGATTGTGTTGAGTGTTGACAGAGCAGGGCTGAGTGTCGCCATCGGCATGGCAACCATCGAGGAGATAAGATCACAGAACTGGTGCTGGACTCTGTTGAATGCGCACGTCAGGAGGTGCACACATGCAGAAGAGGAAAACACGAGGACAGATGCTCACCTGATGAACAGCCCGAGGGGGTCTGTGAATGTTTACTACGTGCTCCTACCAGAGCGAACAGGCAGTAGAGGAGGTAGTAAGCATCACTTTAGTTTCAGAACCTGTAGTAACTGTAGTAGAAGTCATCCTAGTTTTGGTTAAGTGTAGTAGCAGTGGCATCACTGTTTGAATAAGGGGTGATACCAAGAGCCAAAGTGAGACCAGAATGTCCAGGTTCCTCATTCAGCATCCCACTGACATCAGGTTAATAACTACGAATCCAGTTTGTGTGCATCATTGTGTATCTTCAGACAAGGATGGTGGTCTGTTGAAGAACAGCCTAAAATCTCTGAGTGGCCTTTAATGAACACCATTTCCCATAGGCCCTAGACTTCCATGGGCTAAAAGTCAAGGCTTAGTGCAGAGGACTGAGCGCTGAGGTGAAGCGTGAAAGACTGCTGAACAAAATGCTGAGCTGTAGAAGTAGAGCAGCCTGATTTAAAGACCTCCGCTCCCTGTTGGACTCTTACTAAACACCTGTGGTTCAGTCAGTGGCTGGGGGACCTTTGATGGAGGTCATACCCCTTCCTTCTCTCTAGATTCAATTGTCAAATGAAAGCAAAATGCCAAAAACAATTTCAAAAATAGCTGAGATTTCTGAAAACTTTCAGTGCAGCACAAGTCCACATGGTAACATCTTCTAAAACCACACATGCACAAAGAAAGGAGTTGATCAAACCATAAGACAATGTTGGTGTGACCACGGCAGAAGAGGTTAAAAAGAACCACATGATAATCTGTCCCACTTTCTCTCCCTGTAGCGTTGATTTTCAGTCACACGGTTCAAAGAGAACATCCAGCAAAATGCTTCACATGCGTGTGAGTCCCAGCTCAATGTCCCGCCTTTCAACGCTGGTGCACTGTTGGATATCACAAAACAAGACAGCGTTTGCTTCCTAATGCTTTCTAAAATGTAGTGGAGCCAAAAATCAGACAAGCATGGCCGGTCGTTTGCCAACGTGTTGTCAAGGAGCAGTAATATAAAAGACACAGACATGTGAGTAACAACGTTACGTGTTCAGTGTGTTTTCTGTGTTCACTGCCAGTCACAAGGACAGCTTTCGTTAGCCTTAGCTACGTGTTTGTACCTGTGTACAACAGCAGTACTGCACTGGCTGCAGCATTAACCGTGGCAGTGTTGTTATATAACCATATAAATAAACAGCTATAACATGACTCGCTCAGGTTTTCTGTTGCTCCACTGATCTGGCCTCATTTGTTATTCATGAGGTGTCAGTTATCGCCCTGTGTGTGTCTGTGTGTGTGTGGGAGGTGTTTACTGCACAGACTGCTCCCAATTTCAAAGTGTGATTCTGTGACAGAGTTAAAATTCTACATTCCCGCTCTCCTACGTGCACAGACACACATCAAAAACACCAACACACACGCTGAGATATACACACACACACACACACACACACACAAAACCCCAGATACACATAGAAACACACACATGTAAACAGCATCCACACAGAAATACAAGTAGCTGTATTGACATACGTACACACACACACACACACACACAGTGATTATTATTCATCAACGTCTGTTTGTTTGCTGCCGACGCAATGTGGTGGAGAGCGAAGGAAATATCAAATACAGCTATTTATACGAAACCTCGAGGCCTCAGGGTTTGGTTTGTTTCTCCCTAAATGAACCTGAGAGGATAACAGCAGCACGACAGTCCTCTCACGGCTGATGATGATACATCTACAAAGCATGATGGGTAACAGCAGGACTGGGCCAGCTCGCTGAGCCCTTAAACTACTCCCTGGCTTGATTTGTTTATTTATATTTATTATTGGTGATTTCTATGACTAGAAATGTGCAAACTCAGCAGTATAACCACTGGTGGAGAGGAACTGATTACATTTACTTGAGTATTTATCATTTTTGATACTTTTTTCTTCTACTCCACTACATTTATTTAACAGCTATAACTAATGATGATTTTGTTTGCTTGTGTCAGTCAAATGTCACCCATGATGTCCCACTGAATCAGATTTGATCACTTTACATCATGTATAAAGGTTACATTTGCCTAAATTTTGCGTCTGTAAGATAAATATGCATCTCGTCAGATCAGGTGCAGGTTTTCAGACCCTGAAGACCTTTGTCCACACAAGCTGCTTGTTTTGGTTGATGTATGATTTGATCGAAGAATTTTGCATTTTAAAAAAACGTGACCAGTGAAGCACCTTGGTGCAGTTAACTTTCATCACCTTAAGCACACAACAGCAGAAATAAGACAATCTTTTAAACTGCAAAGTATAAAAACTTGAAGCACGTCATGCTGCAGTACCTCTAAGCTGCAGGTGGGGGAGCTGTCTGTGGCATCGTTTTTGTCGAGATCCAGGGCTTTCTCCGTGTCCTCGCTGCCGTCTGCAGCTTGTCGTTTCACACTCAGGGCGGGACTGTCCCTGGCCCCTGATGCCTCAGTGGTTCTGTCCAGAGAACATGTAGATGCCTTCTTGCTCTCTTCCGCTGCTGCAGAGAGAGGGTCTAGGAAACCCTGCTCTCCCTGAGTGTCCATTCCTGCAGGAGAAAGGAAACAAGGTGTTAAAGTCAGACACTCAGGTGAACAGTTTTAAATCTGTGAGTGTAAGAACGGTGTGTCCAGGAGTAAGGGTGTAGTAGGGATGGAGGGGACTCACATTCATTATCTCAGGTTGATTCATGCACTAAATTGTGTCAAACTGCTAAAATCCAAACAGGAGAAGTGCTGAGGTTGATTTTTTTAATCCGAATTTTGCCTCTAAGGCAACATACAGTTGCCTTAGTTCACAGTTGACTTTGGAAATGGTAGTTTGACTCAAACGATTCTGGATGATGTGAATCATTCTCGATACTGATATTTAGTACTACTTGTGAAGATGTGTTAATGCCAAGGGAATTTCACAAGTTGCAAGATACAACAAAAAAAACCTGAGAGAAATCATGGTTTATGTCGGAGCTGTGCATACAATGATATTTAACTTGAGCTAACATCTGCAGCCTCTGTATAACAGCTGAGAGGCAGAAAGCTGCATCGCCTCCCAAACTTTATACATACTACATGTAAAAATAACTGCCAACGACTGTGGGTTTGGACCAACAGGACATCTATAGGGATTTTTCCTTTCAGCTTTTGAAGGTGACAAATGTAATGCTCTATAGTTTCACTGGCTGCTGGTGGTGAAAACTGACAAAAAGCTGTCTCCTCTAGTCTAATTTAGTCTCAGAGACCTAAAAAAGCTTTGTAAATACTGTTAGAAGGTGCTGGGTGTTAACAGAAGAGATATAGTGTAATCGCTTAACAGTGGCCTTTTCCTGAGACACAAACGGTCGGAGAACAGCCCGCACTTCAGGCCAGTCAATAGCAATTATCTCCAATCCACCATCATTAAGGTCAGCCTGACTGTAGAGGGTTCGCCATGGCAATGGGCTGAGGTGAGTCACCAGCCTGTGTGGCTCTGCTGGCCTGTTCATCTGTGGGCTATATCCCTGCACCGCTCACATGTTAGATCAAAATGGAAAATGCATCCCAGCTGAGACAAAGTGACCCTGACCAGCGGTATCTCCGCCCACCCACCGTCTGCTCTTCATGTATTAAAGCTGGGGCACATTTAAACCTGCAGTAACAGCAGACACGGTGACATGTCATCACCTTTTCAGTTGGTATTATGAGCCTGTTAGCTCTGTGTTTGGTCGCCACCGCTTCCTTTCTGGCTCTTCAGCCACTAAACGCTCAGTGTTCACAGCTATAGCTGTGCTATAGCCTCTAACAGCCTCTGTCTGCTGTTTGCTGCTGAGCAGGGAGTGGACAGTGACTTTTTTGAGTGTTTTTCACTTCCCTGGCACATAATTTCCTTTTTCTTCCTCATATAAAAGTGAACATAAGTAGACACTTAATCAACTGCAGCAAACAACATTTTCTCAATTTCCCTTATAACTAATTCAAAACTGTGTAGGCCCGTCTTGGAAATGTCCTGGAGATTTACAGCTCAAAATCAGCTAATTTAAAACACATTCTGAGCAAAGTTTCCAGGACATTAGCTGGAAAATATAGGACCTGTAAAATAAGGTGTTACCTAAAAATGTCATAAAGCATCAAAACACTTCCTGCAGTCATACAAAGAGTGATAGTGTTTAAATGGTATGGCTACATCTATATGTGTGATTAAAGATAAACACTGAGGCGCAGCCCCACACCTTCACAGTCTGACGGCTCGGTGCTGCCCTCCTCCTGGTCCGAAAGTCGGGTAAATTTGTGACGTCGACCCAACGCCAGCTGCTGGGACTGCTGTTCGCCTCCGTTAGCTGCTGCTGTGCCAAAGCTCTGTGAACGTGACAGGGAGATTTCAAACTGTTTCAGGACCTCGTCTTCACTGTCGGAGCAGCTGGAGCCACTGTCGTCGTCGTCGTCACCGTAGCTGTTCACTGGAGGGAGATAAACAGGGAAATCGAGAGGGTGACAAACAGGAAACGCTGGGAAAGATCAGGAGTAAAAAACAGAGGAGAGGAGAGGGAATCCAGATGGGAAAAAATAAACAAACTGCAAGTTTTAAAGGTGCATTAACTAAGATTTTGCACATTGTCTGATAAACAAAGTTCATATGGGACAGGATGTGGTGTCAGCTACACCCCCCCTCCATGACCCTTAGAATAACGAACCAGTAGCCACTTGTCACACGGTGAATGTTACAGCCATAGATTATCTTGTTACTAGGCCATAATCTCCACGGGGGCCAGGTCCCACCCAAAATATGAAAAACGGAAATTTGTCCCTCCTAATATTTGTCATGACCAGTCATCGAATGCCTCCAGATCTATAAGAAAACAGATGCCCTCCGCTCCAGAGCATAGTGAATGTTCACTGGGCTCCCCCTGCTCCGTGCTGGGTTACATGTCATTCACCAGCTGTGCGCGGGGCTGCGATTGGTGGGCATGTGCCACAGCATGGCCACCCTGTAACCTGCTTGTGTCATATAGACCTACAGCTGATCGCTCACAGGTCAAAATCCCAGCATCACTTAAGTTCAATGTAAAGTCTGTTTCTGCTCTGATGTTTCTCTCCACGGCTCCTCCTGGATATCTCGCTCTAGTTTGTCCATCTGGATGATCTGAGTTTCGTTCCATCACTTGTGTACACAGAGTCCGTGTCATTGTGAACCGTCCACATTTGGCTGAACAAAACAAACACTTGCTGCCAATTGTTTGAGTAAATCAGTCACCACACCTTAAGTTTTATTACCACAACCTAGAGCACTCCATTCTGTAGGACCTGCACTTTACTGACGATTGGGTCTTCAACAATGCAACACTTGATTGGTTTGACTATTTTGACAAACTATCAATAATTTAAGCCACTTTCAAACAAAACAACACATTTCTCTTTATATCATAAGCTGAATATATTTTGGTTTTGACTGTGGGAAGTGTAGTTGGGATTTGTCACTAATTTGTAGACCAAATAATTTGGCAAACAAACGAATACAGTAATAGAAGGCCGATAAAATCAATGATGAAAAAATGTTTCATGTGTTCATGTCATTTGATGTATAACAGGCTGTCTCTAAAGAACACCCCCCCCCCAAGACAGACTGCTCCACTGTCTCATCTTCAGCTTAAAGTCGCACTTGAAGACAAAGCAGAGACTCCGGCCAGCAACCCGACGCCTGCCAACATGTACCTACATTGTTTTCTGCATGAGAGATAGTCAGTCTGTGCACATAACCCCCGACCAAACTCAACACCACAGAAAGACCGAGTCAAAACAAACCGTTTTCACACCACTGTCGAGCTGTTTCTCCTCTGATCATATGCTCTGAATAAAAACTGAGAATATGCCTGATAAAAACTTGCAGTTGGCTCTGTAAAGTTCATCTTTGCTTTGCACTAGTGTTGCAAGCAAACGGCGGGTAGTGAGTTCTCTTTCACCAACCGCCTCTGATAACTCGGCGTGCTGAACCAGCTGAGAAAGGCCGACCACAACCAGAGATGCTGGATACTCATAGTCTGACTGTCTGTTGGTGCGTCTGGGCTAAAGCAGGGACCCATAAACAGTAAAACAGTAGTAGTGAGCTTCTTAGCAGGCCTAGCTGTAGTGAGCTTGGATTTACACTGGTGACACTGAAATACTTCAGAAAACAGCATCAACCTGTCTGAAAAGGCTTCTTTATCCACTCCTGTGGCATAATCCACTTCTCTTTCTTTGCTTAGCACTGCCAGTTAGATTTAGTTTAAGAAAATTCATCAGCAACTGCATTAATAATCTTTAAATGTCTTCAGTCAAATGAAACAAAGTGAAGCCTACAGGTTAAAATGGCATCTTCACATTAGGTTTGACAACATCTGTGTTGAAAACAGTACAGTAAGAATCCCTACCTGGTCGCGTGAAGCTCCAGAGGATAACGAGTTGTGAATGTTATGGACTAACTTCAAAATGGATGTGTTGTTTGCTCAGGAAACCAACAGCAAATAGTCCTGTCTGACTCCACCTGCTGCAGGCGAGGAACTACCAAACGCACCGGCCCAGTGTTTGCTCACCGTTTGACTGTGGGCATGTGACTTTTTCTTCTGTTAGATTCTGAGCTCATTAAAAAGCATCAGACGTCAGAAAAACAGTGTTTACTTCAGCGGACCAGCATCTGTTAAAAAGGCTTTCATCACAGTTTAAACTTTGAGCTCAGATGACTCACAGAGGTTGAGCCAGGAGTGGATTACTGTGCAGGATTTACCCTGTTCAGCCTACGCCCAGGAAGCACTCACTGTCCAGGTTACTGCAGTAGCTTAAACACCAAAGTTTCTTTGTATTAAGGATTGTCAACTCACTGAGGCCCACAGGGACGGGGAAGGTTTTCAGGTGATTTCCTTTGACGTTCAGATAAACTTTACACAACGAAATGTTTGTCTCATTTACTGGCTGCCTCTTCTGTCTTATGTTGCTTCTTGCATTATAACATAAGCACTTTCATGCTCTTTCTCAAACTGAGATGAAAGTCTGAGCACAGGTTTTGCTCTCTGTACACGTACGACGGTGCTGAACCTCACTGTGGTGACAAGACTTCAGAAACTGGACAGGGTGTGGAGTTCAGACATCTGGGGGCATTAAAAGGAGCCATTTGAGGTGGCTTGGGCGTCTGATTAGGACGCCTCCTGGACACCTTCCCATGGACGTTTTCAGGGCATGACCAAATGGTAGGAGGCCCAGGTTTAAGTCCAGAACACATTGGAGGAATTAAACATCTCACCAAGCCTGGGGACACTTCGGGGTCCCCCAGGAGAGGCTGGAAGACGTAACTGGGAAGAGGCACATCTGGGTCAACCCGTGAACCTGCTGCACCCACGACCTGACCCCGAATAATCAGCTGATAATAGATGGATGGAAGATGAAACCCATTTTTTGCCACAGGGTTTGTTAAGCAGACAGAACCTCAGTAACATAAACAGGACCCGTTAATGGCCCTTGTCAATACTGATTTTATTTGATACTGTAATTTAATGGCACATAGTCAAAAATGTAATTAACCATGTTATCTTACATCACTCACACAATGAACCTCTGGCTTTTAAGCAGTTGCTGGCTTTGCACGATCAGAGACTCTGCCTTGGTAACATGAAACAAACACTGGTATGGTTCTTAGATTAAACATGAAGTTGAGCTTTAGTAACCTTTGCTCTGGGTGTTAGTACTGTTTGTCAAGTGGGAGGAAAGAAAGTTTTACCGCATGACGAAAAGAGAGAAGAGTGAACAAGCTCTTCAGCCTGAGTGTCCTGTTCTCTCTGTACTTCTTTCGCTCCGCTCACGTCTTCTCCAAGGTTTTATAATATTAGTGTTTTCATTGTGAGCTGCTGCTGAGCTTTGAGGCAGCATGCAGCTGACTCACTCAGCTCTTTCTCTCATCCATGCAAACTCGCCCACAGGAACCACTGCAGAAAAACAACCTCACCCACGATCTCTCACTGTTACTGAAGAGTTTAATTAGAGTCATGCTGCATACAAGAGCTACACACTGACATTTTTCACGTTATATAAAACATGAACCTTGACTAGAAAATGTGTTCACTTGTAAGAAATCAATAGTCTTATTGTTCGTCTTTATCACAAAAACAAGTCCATGATAACTGGGCTAACTCCATCTGCTAAAGATCATGTGATATGATCCAGAACAGCTGAAGACACTGCACAGAAGCCATCAAATGGATGCAGCAACTGCTTTAAAACGGTCATGAACATTCTTTTAAATACATTAAGAAAAGTACATGCACCTCCCCAAACACCCAGCTTTGCTTTTCTGGATGTGGTGTCCCACCTGAGGCCAATTTGATGTCAGAGTACAGGCTGTATATACCTGATAATGACTTAACATAGAGACATCGATGGCGTGGTAGTTTCCCTGAATAAACATTTCTTTCAAGCAGTGTGTGGGCTCTAATCTTTTTTCTACTAAGGAAATTCATTTACAACCAGTCTCCTCCTTAGATAAGCATAAAGTTCTGTAAAATAAACTGCACTTCTCTGTTCAACAAATCCTGTGAGCTAAATGACCAAATATTGTGTTTCTCATCCATCCACCTACTGTACCTACGGGCTTCTGTTGTACTCTGTCATGCTTCAGCTGTAACTCACACGGCCACTAGATCCCTGTCAGCTGAAGGTAGATACAGTTTTTCTTGCGAGGCCACTCACCGAGCCCCTGACGGATTCCTGTTCGTCCTTTCTTCCGACGGCCATGTTGCTCCAGGCAGGGCAGTCCACCGACATGTGAGAAACACAGCTTCTTGTTTATGAAGAGGAAGAGGACGGCCAACGCCACGATGAAGACGCCCACCGCCGACAGGAAGCCGATGGCCTCTGGGGTGACTGGCAGGAGGAGGGAGAGGGGACACACAATGACACACTGATCAGACCACACAAACAGACAACCTGGAAACATGCACGCACACACCCGCACACACAGTACGCATGATATATGTGATACACACAGACAGAATAAGTGACACTTTAGTATTTGAGTTACCCTCAGTGCGAGTCAGTAAAAGCAGCTAGTGTGCACAATAACTCATCTGCACACCGGCTAGCATTAGCTACCCAGTAAGTAGAGACAGACAGAATAAAGTAGATCCCACCACCCCAGTGACCCCCATCGCTTCACCTCATGACCAGAGATGATACATGGTTAACTAACAAAAACTTAGATTAGCATGTCCAGCACATCTGTCTTGCAGACATGATTGCTAAATTCACCAAGTGATAGCCAGAGCCAGCTAGCCACCTGTAGGCATGACTGCAGTACTGGAAGAAGTATTCACATTGTTTACATACATAAAAGTAGTAATATCAGTGTAAAAATACTGTTACAAGTAAAGGTCCTGTACTCAAAATGGTGCTTAAGTAAAAGTACACAAGTAATAAAAAAATCTAAATGCTATATGCTAGAAGTACCAAAGGTTAGACATTTCACATTAGAGCATTTTATTGGATTAGAACTGTGGATTCATCATCTCTTTAACATTGCAGCTGGTAAAGGTGGTTTCAGGTTTGTGTTTCAAGCTGGACCCACACACACGATTCGGTAGATCAGACACAGGTGAAAGGTTATTGCATTTATTGCAGGGTTAGTAATGGGGCACTCCGTGGGCTGGGAGCAGTGAAGGAGTAAAGGTGAGGGCTGACAGGCAGAGCAGCAGATGAATGAGAGCCTGCATAATAATAATCAGATATGAGGATTTTCCTGTAAGAGGTGGAACCTTAGCAGACAGTGGTGGGAAAAAATGGTGAAGAGTGAAGAAGATGGCGGGCCATCCAGGTATGTCTTTAGTACTGGTTCTTTTTCAGGTGAGTGAGTAGCAGACAAGATGGTTGGCTGTTCAGGTAAGGGGGAATTCATGCCTTGTGCAAACCCCTGGTTGGCACGAACGGAGGGTATACACGTGTTGCTATTCATACTGAAAAATAAAGGGTCTGCTTTCTGTCTGCATACACCAGTGGTTTCTTGGTACACGCCCATTCAGGGCTTTTCCTGTGCTGTGAGGACCATCCATGCAGACCTGGGAAAATGATGGAAATGACATAACCTGACCTTAGGAGACATCCAGAAGTGCAAGGCGTGAATAGGTCTAGGGTAGGGTAGTTACAAGGAACTTTGTTTGTGGAGATTAAAGTGTGATTTGTGTTTGACGTTTTTGTGATACAGAGTTACTTTTATGCAAATAACCGTGGTGACTCATAAGGGGGTGAGTTTATAGCAGAAAAATGGAGATTTGAAATGAAAAAAGCACATTTCTGGCAAGGCTGAAATAAATAAATAAAATACAAGAAAAATAAAGCAGGGGGTGGTTAGTTCACAGCAAGAGGCTTCCCAGCTTGAACCTCCGTGCAGAGTGTGTGTCCCTTCCCTGTGTGGGTTTCCTCCAGGTACTCTGGCTTCCTCACTCTGGAGGACTCCCAACTCTAAACTGTCTGCAGGTGTGAGTGGTTGTCTGTCACAGGACAAGTGGTTGAGATAATGGATGGATGGAAGAAGCAAAGGAAGAGTGATGAAAACCTGGACAGAGAAAGAAACTGAGAGAGTGAAGACAGACACTGCAGAGATCATGAAAGAAAGTGGAGAAACCAACATTAGAGGAGAGGCAGACCAAAAGAGAAGAAAGAAGCAGTGAGAGGGAGAGACAAACAGATGGAGATCAGACAAATGATGGGATGCGAGGCGCGCTACTCTGACACTCCTTCAATACAGATGAACAGAAATGTAGAACGGTGGTCACCGGCTCCTGTTTCCACAGTAACGTTTCAGAGAGCAGAGAACTGAATCAATGGGAGCAAACAGAGACAAGTAGACATTGTGCCGAGAGCCGACACCGTGGGCGTGTGCGTGAGGATGTTTATTTTATACACCACTTTTTGTTTTGTCACACTGATGTCTCTCTCTACACTCCCACGCTTTACAGATGTACCTTAATAATCGGCACTGGAAACATCTACTCACATCACCAAGCAACAGTGTGTGTCTGTTTGTGTGCAGAGGCAACATATTGAGCAGCTGGTTCCTGCTGCAAACACGCTGTGAGTGCACACAGGAACATCTGTAGTCTTTTAATCCTTATCATATTATTCCTACGTAAGGTTATGCAAATTTTAATTATGTTAATCTACAAGGTCTACAATGAAATGGAGCTGTCAAAATGGATCAGCCTCATAACAACAGACACACATTCAATTTGCAGCCCAGATAAACAGCTGCTGTCCCCTCAGGAGGATGTTGTTACATGCTTCTGCACCTCTTCACCTGTGTACTGCACTGTCTTGTTAGTTACAAACCAAAACCAACCTGATACATAACACACAGACGCTGACAAACGAAAGGAAAATCCTGAATAAATGAGTGGAGAAAACATGCAGGACTCAGGGATTAATCTCCACAGAATGTCAAATATTCTAGTGGATCTCCAATCGAGGGTTGGCAGTGATGGCTGATGCCACAGGTGGTCCGGTGTAAAACATCTTATAAACTAAACGAATCCTTCTGCCTTTGGGGATCCTGTCCCATTTCACCTTTCACCTACCCGCCCTGTCATGACCACTTTTCTTTGTACACTATGAGGCAGGGCCAGTGTATCTGAGAGCAGTAGGGCTGAGCAGGACCTTCGTACTACTGAGACAGTAGATTCAGAGACGGGCACTCGAGTTGGTAGAAGCTAACAGACATTTTGTACTCTGTCTCCAGTTTGCCCTGGACGTTACAATATCTGTATTTAGATTCAGTTTCCATGTTTATCTGCAGGTTCACAGAACTCAACAGGGAAACGTTTGATGGTCTGTGGCACCTCAGAGGGATGCAGTGTTAACCCACTATAAACCCCATGAGTTAACACACCGGATACAGTTCGGACGGAGAAAATGCTCTTGGATTATGTTGGAGACACTGGGACAGGACTCAGATTTGGACTCTGTCATGCACATCTCTAAATAGAAGCAAGCCTTCTGTTGAGAATATTGTGTCAAAACGGACCTGTTACATTGACACGTTCATAGCCAGAATTTAAAAAACTGAAGAAAAACCAGATCTGAGTAAAAACCTGACAGTGGAATACCAGCTTTATCAACACCTAAACTCTGGATGATGCTACTATACATTTCAGAGCTAAGCTTTTACTGAATTAATGAGAAGAACGCCTGAGTACGACTTAAACTGATCGACAAAAATAAACCTGCTGATGAAACAAACCCAGTGTGACAGTAACAGCTTGGACGGTGTGTTCGGGCACCGTAGTAAAGTGGAGTTTCCCTCTCAGCTGCTCTGACAGTCAGACACAGAGCCTAGTGTTGGAGACTCAGAGCCTCCTACTGTCTGCATGCAGATGGACAGGAAGAAACCCTGGGTCAAAGTCTGGCCTCACACCTGCTGCACACACACAAATGCATCCAAACATGGACACACTTCATTCAAAGTACAGAGATCCCTGTTTGCTTGATTCTCTCCAACACACACATCACTACACACTCGCTAGCCTCTAAATAAACTCTTATTAGGGATTCACTGTGGTTATTCTCTTATTCTTATTCATTAATCTGTTGATTAATTGTTTAATCCACACAGTAAAAAATGTTTCCAGAGGAAACCAGGGTCAAACACAGACTGTAACAATACTAAGCTCTGGAGCCCAGGTGCCAACAACAAAAACAACACATGTATTTCATATAAATCTTTAATTAATTGGATTCTTGTTTATTCTTGGATGGCATGAAGAGTGTCTCATTTATCACTTTGTTTCTCAGAATATGTAACTGTACTTTGGGGGACTCATGTTTTCACATCCTCAGCTAAAATACCAAAGACATGACCATAGAAGGTCTGAACAGACCCACAGGGAGAACAGGGGTCAGGAGGCCTCTGGACCCAGGGCTCTCTTTGAGTTGACGGTTAATATTTACAGCAACAACAGGAGGACAAATCAGTCCAAAATCCAGAGATATTCCACTTAGAATGACTCAAAACAAAGAGTGAATCAAAGCAGATGATTCACTGTGAAGAGGAGGCGCTGACAGAAGCAGCACAACTCCTGAATCACAAGCTCAAGGCAAGAACATCATACACACGATGTCATACACGTGGCCCGATGTCGTGGTCACACAGCCACCTTTGGTATCTTTTCTTCCAGGTTCCCTCAGGGGCCCTGACAACCACAGTGAAGTGCCATTTTCATTCTTTTGGCCTTCACGTTAGCAGATTTCCTGGTGGAAGAGAACATTTTGCCCTGATCACTGTGCAAGCTGCAGTAGCAGTTTCATAACAAATGAAAAAATGTCGGGTCAAGGGTTCTTATTTCTGTCTGTCGACTTTCAGCAGTCTGAACTACTGTGCCGCTCTCATCTGTGCTTCTTACCATTCTGGTGGGTGTTTTAATAACACTATTTTTCATTCAATTTTTCTGGTAGAGGTTTCAGGCCATTAACTTTCAGCACAAGCGGAACAGCGAAACAGTGGTTAGTGTTGCCTCACAGCAAGAAGGATCTGGGTTCGAGCCCCGGGGTCTTTCTGTGTGGAGTCTGTATGTTCTCCCTGTGCCTGCATAGGTTCTCTACAGGTGCTCCGGCTTCATCCCACAGTCTAAAGACATGCAGCTTGGGTTGACTGGCGACTCTAAACTGCCCGTAGGAGTGAGTGTGGTTGTTTGTCTACATGTCAGCCCTGTGACAGACTGGTGACCTGTCCAGGGTGGACCCCACCTCTCACCCAATGTCAGCTGGGACTGGCTCCCACTACCCTATTCAGGAATAATCACTATTGATAACTGGTGGATGGAACTTTCGGGGCTGATAAGTTTGAGTTTATATTTTAAAAAATTAAATAATAAAGCTCACAGAAACTTTGTCTTTTAGCTTTAATATCACACTTTCCTTCAGTCACTCAGAGAGACAGCATTTATATCAGAATGCATCCGCTTAGAAACATCTGAAACAATCTCGGGAAGGTGAACCGCATTACTGCAGCCGCAGAGAATTAGTTAACATATTGTAAAAATAGCACAAATGGAGAGTACTGACAAATGTTGAACATGCAAATGTAATGAATGCTAGATATAATGAATGAATGTAGAACAAGCATTAAGGTGGTGACGTGCCCCTGACAGAGAGGCGTCGGGTCAGACTAATGAGATGGAGAGGTCCAGCCAACAGAGCTAATCTGTGACAGAAAGCCTGTTTGTGTGTGTGCCGGCACTAAACCCTCCTCCCCTGGTTACTATGCAGCTGCTGACTTTTCCACCCTGGCTTTGAAGAGAGCAGCTCCAGAAGAGAGCACAGAGCACTTTGACACGAGTGTTAGATTAGGATGAAAATACAGAGGAAGAGACAGCAGTGGCAGCGAGGGCCATGGTGTTACTGCTCATTACCGAGAGACACGAGAAGAGGACGAACACGCTGCTTTGTGCTGTCTGCTTTCTTCTCCGATAGCAGCTGCTGTTCCCTTCACTTCACTGTACGATCACTCATTAGTGTGGATAATTAGTGTCAGGAGTCTCTGTACATGTCTTAGCCCTTTGTCTGCAGACCATAAGTTAGTGTTGCAGAACTTTTAACTGAATTCTGAAGAAAAAAGCAAATGAACGTGCATTTTCATCAGTGTGAACAGTAGGACTCGGTTCATGAGGTAAAACAATTAATGGCACTACATTAACAGTCGGGTGCCATTAAACTGCTGCAGAAGAAGAGGGTGCAAAGTAAATAAATGATTTATTTTCAAAATAAATTTATGACCTGATGCTGGCACCAAGTGAAAAGTGAGAGCATCGCCACAGTTATTACAAACCAACCTGAGGGGGATGTAAACATTTCTAGTTCAGCTATGACTGGTCCACAGTTTTAAAAAGGTTTTCTGCCTCAGAATTGAAATGTGCTGCCTTTTATAGACACTGAGGAGCTGAATCCATCTATGACCTTTAGAAGAGCTAACTGGCTCTAGTTGGTCAGATATTTAGCCCCTTTGTTTTTATGCCGACATGTGTTAATTGTATAACGTTGTGTATGTTGCTTCAGAATTTTCATCCTCCCATTTTTGTCCTAGTTAAGGTACGATTGTGGGCGGAGCCAGGGGTGGCCCCAGCCACCCTTGGGGTCTGATTGGCCTGGTGACGTTTTACCACACGCAGTCTGAACGCCTGCTAAAACTTGAATTACACTGAGGTAAATTGGAGACATTTCCAGTTTGTTTAACAACACAAACCAACCAGTAACCAGTACGAGGCCAGTCAGCTGCAGCTGTGACAGCTGACGTCCGCTGACCCTGCTGCACTAAACTAACAAGCAGACCAACTGGTGTTGTTGTCGGGACATGAAGTCGAATCACTGCAGAAACATCAGCACATCATGTTTTCAGTCTGACTCACTGCAAGGCAAACACACGCGCACATGAAAATCATAGTTTCCCTGGAAACAGCCCAGTGGCTTGATTAAGGTATAATGAGTGTGCTTTTTCCCACCCACATGTAAGGCCTCATGTTACCATGGCGCTGTGCGCTTGTCCTGAATGGTCGGGAGGACGAGAGCATCTCATGGCTGAGAGGGTGATGACAACAAGGAAAACAACATCAACAACAACAACCACTCAGAAGTGGTTTTATTTAAAAAAGAAGCTCAGTGTATAAAGCTAGACATCAAAACTGCAGCGCACCGCTCGCTGAACGTACAGTATATAGTACAGCCAGGACTAATACTGCATTCATTTACACCTACAAATGACTTGATAACACTCAAATACTTTGGCTCCTTCTATTTGCACGAACTACACAAACATATAATGAACTGTTAATAACTACAACACAGCTGTGAGGAAGATATGAGGATATTTTATATTAATGTACAATATTTATCAACGGAAACGTTCTCCCATGAAGACGTCATTTATTATTACTTCCTCCGTTTATTTATGCAGCACTTTAAAACAGCGTCTTGTTGACCAAAGTACGTTACACAAATAAAAGAAGAGCTAAAACATCTACCACTGGAAGAAAATAGCAAACGAAATAAATTAAAGCCAACGTCAACAAAAGTATCAAACTCCATTAGTTGTCAAAAGCCCTGTAAAATAAGTCTGTGTTGTGTTTGTGAAAAAAGTTTAACAGCAATAATGACACGGACGTGTAGTTAGTTTGTGAGAACACAAGGTAGATTAAGGCACTTTTAAACTTAAACGATTAAATAATTAGCAGAACATTTTCTGATTATGTGTGTGTTTTAAAATGTATTTCCTCTTGCAAAGCAGATGTTAGACTTTCCAGTTAAACCTTTCCATATTTATTATCCCACTACAACAGCCAACACTTCTCCTAACCTGAAGCTGTTTATTAGCAGTAGGTGAGTGCATCATCACTCAGCCACCGCCCAAAACACAACTACTGTCTGACATGAGTGGAGTATTAAGATCACACCACCAACACCATCACCAGCATCAGTTCAGACATACTGAGGAGCAGCGCCTCCTGCTCCCCCACCACAAAGCAGTGACAACACTGGTGTCAACACTCCACCTGCTGGTGACAGGCTGCGTTACAGCTCAGCAACATCCCCCAAAACCCTCCAGCTGCTCTGGCTTCACTGAGGGAGGCGACCTGGAGGCCGAACCCTTAATGCACAAATTAAGTTGAAGACAAACACTGAATGATTACAGTTCAACATTCCAGGCTGTGAAACAGATCACCTGCTTGGCAGTGAACTGTAAATTTAAAAGTGAAAATGTTGACTTCAGTGTCACAACTGTGCCATTAAAGTTTAAGGAGCTTTTATCATGTTATTTATTTTAAATTATGACAGTGCTGTTTAGGATTAAATGCAATAGGCTCCAATAAAGTAAATACATGTATTAAATTTAACATTACAGATCCTCTCCGGGCATTTTTATGACATTTAAAATACTCTCCTCAGAATAATCGTTTGTCTTACAGGATTTTTTTTTTTCACAAAACAGCAAAAAGTTCAACCAAAAATTAAATCTAGTCCAGAATCAGTGAATATGAAAATAGCTTTCTTTTTAACTCCTGCCTTGGAGAGAGGTGATTAAAACTAATAGCGCACTAATGAAAATACTCAATTACAAAAAAGTTGAAAAAGTTACTCAAGTAAAAGTATAAACAGAAAAATGTATTTAACGCTTTAAAGGTGACTTACACAGACAACTGTAGTAGCTGAAACTGACACAAGCTCCAGTGAAACGTACTGAAAGAAGCTTCAGTGTCTCAGCGCTGCTACCAGAGAGAAACCTTCTCCCTGAATGACAGCAGGTGAAACGAAACAAACGAGAGATGAGTGAAAAACTGGGCTGAATTCTCAGGAAGCCTTTTCTAGGTTTCAAGAAGAAGAAATACAAATCCCACGTCTGTGGACCTACTGTCTGCTGCTGCTGGTGAAGGCTGAGTGCTTCCTCCTTTGCTGGCCATGTCTTCACATCTCCTCCTCTTCTTCACCCCTTTCTACTCTTTTCCTTCCCCTCAAACAGCAATTCCCCCTCGGGCAGAGAACAGTCTTGACTCCTGATGCGTCTTCTCCCCGTCCATTCAACAAGATGTGACTCCTGAGTCTGAGCCTGTCTGCGCCCTGTCAACCCTCAGTCCTCACAGCTTTCCTGCCTTCACTGGGTGGGGTGGCCGTCCCTTCCTGACTTCCACCAAGACACAACAACCCACATGAAGGTGGAGAACATGAGGCACACACACTGCAGCGTAGGGCAACATCGCACCAGAACTGCTAGAATGTAGAAATATAGTGTTTGTTTTGAAAAATCACAACCTCCAGGACCTTCAGAGTATTTTCAGGAAAACAGGTGTTTGGTCAAAAGAACTGGGACATGTTTGAGCCGGACAGCTGGACAACTACTTGCTAACAAACGCGATTATAAGTCAGGCTGGTTGAACAGTTCTTCTGGTGTGGAGATTAACTTAACACACACCATGACTGAGATGGATGTGGTTTCCCGTCAGGCGGGACTGAGGGCAGCACAGTTCCATCAACAGGCCCCAAACCTCAAATAAACAGGAACAAACATGGATTCAACTTCCTGATACAGCTAATTGCACAAATACAAACCCACACACAGCGGCATTAAACATGAGTGAACAGTGGGGAAGGGATTAGACGTCAAACCGCTCTACAACTAGACCACAATAACCAGAAACATGGCTGACAGCTTCCTGCTGTTAATGGAGCACAATGAGGATGATTTTGATTTTCCCCTCAACAACATGTCACAGCCAGAAACAGAGGCTGGTTAAGAGGTTATGTCCACATGCGGTAAGCAGCAGGTGGCCACAGCCGACTGGGTCTGACATTTGTCTTGTAGGGCAAACCAGAGTTTACGTCCATGTATTTCTGTTCTACAGACGTGAAGGACAAGAAGCTGATCAGTCGGTCGGCCCTCAGCACTTTGGTCCAGAGTAAGACGGCACCAAACACTGGCCAGATTTATTCTGAGAATTCATGTGTGGGGATGAAATCTGTTCATTTTGGTCATTTGCTAAAAACATTTGTCTACAAGTCCAGTAAAGGTTAATAGACTTGGTATTGTGGGGTGTTACACATGTTGCTGTCTTTGTTCCTTTGTCGCTATAAATGAGCATGATATTCTTTGTCTTGTGTGACATACCGTACATTGTGACACTTTTAGAATCATTAATGAAATGTTTCTTTACAGAAAATGGGTCTTAGTAACTCACTACAATAAATATTTTGCATCCTTCAATGTGTTGCATGTATTTTAGTAAAAGTTTTTGTCATATACATTGTTTACATTTGTGTTTACTCGCCTTTCTTGGTGCGTTGCCACATTTGTAGACATGTTACTGCAACAACTTCTCAAATGTAAAGATTTTCTTACTTTGTAATTTGATCATGAATGTAAACAGCGTAGCTTAATGTTAAAACAAACCTTTGATTTTACAACATTCCACTTATCAGAGAAACCATATTCATTCCCAGGATGTGCCGGGGCCAAACAGTAGGCTGTTTAATCTTCACTACACAGTATTTATTATACCAGCAATGAATCAAATTACATAGCTCCGGGATCTTTTTAGCCTATTTTTGCTTCTCGTTTCTGTTTTTTGCACATTTTCTTTAGGACTCGGTCTCAGAAAGTGGGTTTCCATCCAAACGCAGATACAATTTAAACCATATTTGAAAAAGTCTGCAAAAGACAAAGCTAATTAATGCCAGATGGGAGTTGGTTCAATGAGATAAACAGCTGGTGGTGCTAATTTTCAAATCAGGTGCCAGTTAATCTTTGCAGAGGAAGAGGGTAATTAAAAGAGTAAAACCCCAGCCAACACTACCTGCTCAGCAGGTTTTTTTTTAGACACAGGTGGAGATGAACAAAGTGGAACATCTTGTAGTCTGCATTTTTTCAGGATCTGATAAAGACCCTGGTGTTATCATCTCCCATCGTCTGTGTCACCTGATCCTCCACCTGCCTGCACACCGGCCCGTCCCCCCATTAGTGACCAACCGGTTGATGTATTTGCCCTGCCCAGCATTTTCAGTCCCGTCAGACCAGCACAGCATTCTGTTGTTTGAATAAAGGCTCTCCTGAACAGTGAAATGCTGTATGCTATATGGTAATAACATGGATGTGAGTTTCTTTTCAGCACCAATGCATTTACAAATATTATCCATATACAAATCATTCATAAATACTTGGAGTCTCACACTTGCTAGTATTTTTCACCTGCTACTAAAAATGTTACTACATGTCTTGTTTCTACATCCCACCAAGTCTGCAGCTGAAAATATTAATAATCCATTTATAAATAGATTTTTGTCCTCCAACCCTTTTCTAGAAACTGTGGCACACAGTCCAATGGACAAGTCTCCCTAATGAATTATAGAGCAAAAAAGGATTTTCCACAATCTGGCAAACAAATAGTTGTTCTTACTCGCTGCTAATGAAGCATTAGCAAATGCATCAGACTGTGGTTTAACTGTGCATTAAATCCCATTAAAAACCCTTAAAAAGTGGTAGCAGAAAGTGGTGTATGTTACAGTCTGGTACAGGAGACACCGAGGCTTCCGTGAAGTAGCCATGATGAGGCAACTCTCCACAGCGCAAATAAACTCGGATCCTACAGGAATGCTGGAGGAATATCTCAGTTATATGAATCATAAAATTAAATGTTTGATGACTGAGAAAGGCTCTTATCAGGCCGAATGGAGAAAATAAACAGTCATGGGTAAAAAGAGAATAAATTGGCCTACTCATCCTGTCAACCAAACCCAAAAAGGAACCAGGAGGAGAGCCTTAAAACGGCGTCAATCCTCAGCACCACACGGGGAAAGCCAATACTGGAGGCGGGCAGACGGTGAGGACACGTCCGTACTTACTGTCCGACGACATGTTTGCGGCCGTTTCCCTTCAGCAGCGGAACCGTGCGTGTTATCAGCGGAGCTGAGGAAGCAGCATCCCCGTCGCTCCTCATCCTCCGGACCCGCAGATCTGCAGCCACACAGCGGGGAGCGATGACCCATTCACGTGCTGTAGGAAACATCCACACTCGCTGGGTTTATCCACATCTCGTTTCTAAATTCAGTTTCAGACCTTGACTTTTGTATTTATTGTTCATGTAATTACGAATTAGTGACATAAAATGTCAACATCGTTTGTTGGAAAACTGATGAACGTTACTTTTCACACAAGGTTTTTGAATCTGTAGTCGTTTCCACGCCAACAACCAGTAATTTAAGCTCCTCACTTTGACAAAATGTAGGTATTTTAGCCAAGAATGTGTCATTTTTACCTTTGACTTAACACAGAAAGATGTGCTTTGCCACAGAAACGAAAAAAATCTAAATTTAAAGGTTCAAACTAAACAGCCAAGCCCTGTGTAAGACCGACTAACGGTAACTAGCCGCTGTTAGCTTCATCCACATAGTAATCATCTCTGATTAATTAATGCTAACATCTCTGTAATCTGTTCCACATGTGTAGTAATGTCATAGAGAATAAAATCGGCATAAAAGTATTAACTACATTTCAAGACAGTTGTTAAAAATGGCAGGTGGAAAGTTGAAGGAACGCGGTGTTGGCAGCAGAGCGGTTTGGTTTAAATATGGCTCTTTTTGTTGCTGCCTTTTTTACTTAATTTGTATGACATTGTTCTTAATGTTAAAGCGTTTTTAAGAAAAAGTAGATCAAATAATGTCAAAATCTAATTAAAACAAGTTTAAATACAGGAATGACAAAATACAGTTAATATTTTGGTAAGAACAAAGTGGAAAGTGTGGACAAATAGAAGCAAATGACCATGAAATGTCCTTGTATTGGAGCTGAGAAGGCTTAGTCTGAATTAGTCTGACAAAAAGGTTTTAATATAAACACCAGAGGCTGCAGAACAGAATTCAGGCATGTCTGAGAAAAAAACACGGAGCGAGAGGAACCTTTTAAGAACGTTTAAATGAATTTACTCTCATAAAAAAAGCACAACGTACTTAGACATCTCCTGTGCAAAAGGCAACTCTTCTCAGACAAAGCAGACTCAGATATTCAGACACAGAGGGAATTTTCAACAAGAGATGGTTGCAACACTGCAAAAAAGGATTTTTTCAGCTTTTGACTTTGTGCATCTGTTTACATTTTGCTGTGTCCTGTTATAAACAAGCAGTTTTGCAACAATATACTTTTCTTTAACAGGTTCTACTTTGCTAAAAACATAATTTTAAAACATAAAAACATTCACATTTTCTTCCAGGCTGTAGCTAGAAACCTTCAAAGTTCTAGAATATTACATTAAGAAGTAAGCATTTTCATGGACTCATCATCCGTAAAACACGCTGTCAGGACGACAGCCGACTCGTGCGCTGTCATCACCACTTGAATTTTCTGTACGGTTTTGGTTTATCTGAACAGAGGAAAAAGAAACAATAAATGGAATAAGTGACAAGCATGAACAAAAAACTAAAATACAGTAACACAGTTGATGCTGGAGAAACTCTGAGCTCAGAGATTGTTTTTGTTTGTTTGTTGTTTGTTAGCCCTGTGGGACAACAGGGCAGGGAGGAGGCTGTGCTCCTGGGGACACTCAGAGCTTCAGACATGGTTTGATCCCCTGGTCCTGATCTGGGCCTCACCACAGTCTGACCACAGAGTCTGCAGTGAGCTCCCAGACTTCATGTCCTGGTTTGTGTCCTGACCTGCAGTGTGACCTGTGAGACCTTATACACACACACAGGTGTGTGTCGTTCTACACCCTGTCCAGTCAGCCCAGTTTGTCACAGGTGGACTCCAGTCTGGGTCTGGACAAGTCTCAACAGGATGTACCTGAGCACAGTGTGGAGCCACAGCACAGGAGACTTTTGTAAAGTGAGCTTTCAGTTTTTGATTTTTAATACATTTGCAGAGATGTTTAAAAACATCTTTTTACTTTGTCATTATTAGTTACTGAGTGTAGACTGGATGGGCAGAAGTAATAATTTTATCAATTTAAAATTTAATCTAGACAATAACATGCAAAAATAAAGGGGCCTAAAGGCTTTGTGTAGCCAGCGTATCTCAAACTAATGACCAAGTCCTGTCAGTCTCAGCTGCACTTTAAGCCTCATGCCCATGTTGCATGCTAATACACAGCAACATGTTAATTTAATGCCATGGATTCCTCACAAACCGAGAAAACAGAGCAGCAAAGAAAGTGTAAGAGCGTTTGTCAGAGGTGTCACCTTCAGGAGCGAAGTCGAGTGTGGTGAGACGACTGATCAGAGTGGGCGCTGCTGCTTCTTTCCACATGTCACCTGAGAAACACAAAGTCACACTCGGTGAGGATTTGTTCACATGTTTAAATAAAACCGTCCTCACTTTCCCTCAGCCTCGTCACCTCTTGGCGAGTCTTTACATTGCATCAGTCTTTGTGGGTCGACAGATATTTATTTAACATGATTAAAAGATGACTTTTCAGGTGAAATGTCAATAAATTCATTAATAAACTAATACTTGACATTCTGTTTTGTCAAGGAAAGGACATCTCTCCTCCCATCTTTTGTGTTCCGCTCTCCTTGTGTCATACTCTTCCTTGAGGTGAGGGGAAAAAGAGACGAATAACAAACACCCAGAGTTGTTACAGAGAATAAGCAAAAACCAGACAGTTTACAGATGTGAAAGGTAAAAACAATAGTCGACCTATGTTCGCCTGGTTTAAAATTAAGTCTACTTTTATTCTGCGGTAGGTGTAGACGTCACCCTTATTCTGTGCTATCATCTGATCTTTTATCTGTGGTACAGGCAGGCTGTAGGCGGGACTTACCTGAGACATGCACACTCTCATTGGTTCTGGCTTTGAGTGACGGTTTGCTTGTTCTGGAGTGGGCTGGCGTGTTGGAGGTTCCAGTGTCGTTACTAGTGAAATCCAGCTCCACCTGACGATGACGACGTGATTTGGAGGCCTGAGACACACAAATAATTATGTGTGAGGTTTTGAAATGAATGAATTTCAATATAAAGCACTTTTAAGAAATTGAAAGATCCTACAAGGGAAATGTAAATGTGTTACTTATTTGAATAAAAATATTAATAAAAAGGAAAGTAATACAAAATCTAAAAGATAAAACACAAACCTCTGCTGCCTGTCCATATGCTTTGGATTTGATGGAGGCAAGGAGCTCGGCTCTTCTGGGACACTGAGGATATTAACCAGACGTCAGTCAACAGCGCCACTCTCTGGTCACACTTATTATTCCAACTTTTAAAAAAGGTGCAAGAAAAACATAAAGGACATGTACAGATGGTGACAAATGGGAAAAAAAAATCCTGAATGAAAGTGGTCTCCTCCAGGACGACAGAGCCCCCCCTGTCCACAGGACACCAGGGGTCACTGACTGGTCTGATGAGGAGGACCATGATGTTGTTAACCAGATGCTGTGGCCTTCCCAGTCACCAGGTCTCAGCCCAGTTGAACAGCTATGGGAGATGTTGGAGCGACGTGTTAGACAGCGTCTCCACCACCATCATCAAAACACCACATGAGGGAACATCTGTTGGAAGAACGGTGTTCATTCCTCCAGGAGAGTCGGTGCCATGGTGGAGCTGTTCAGGTTCATGTGGTCGCCCACCTCCTCACTGGGACTCTCTATGTCGGGTCGTCCTTTCACCTGTCAGTAATTCTCTCTGGCCTGAATGTTGAACATCCTGCAGTAGACATGATGTGCCCTGGTGGTGCTTCCACTAAACCCTTCAGTAAAGCTCAAACTTCAACTAAGTGAAACACAGTGTAACTCACATCCTGCTGAGACGATGTTCCCTCACTGCTGTCTTCATCTAGATCTGGACCATCCTGGCAAGACAAGACACATCCTCTCATAACATCAACAGCAGGAAAAAAAAAAAACAATAACGCATACGTACTCTAATCGTGAGCTGCAGCCCTAGTGTCATGCAAAGATGATGTAGTTATGATCACTGGTTTGTCTTACATCTGCAGTTCCCCCCTCATCTCATCATAACAGTGGACAAACACCATAACACAATGGGAAAACCAAATAACCACGTTGTCTCTTATAATTTACAATATTTTTCCAATTTACAATGTATATCCTGTCTAAAGGAACACAAACACAATTTAAATTGAACAAAGCCCAGCAGCGATCTCTCACCTTCCTTTGCTGCCACTTGTAGAAGTCCATCACAGTGCTGTGTAACTGAGGGACCAGGTCTTTGCGGATCAGGTTCACAGATGGATCTGTCCGTTTTGCTGTCAGAAACACAGAAGTCTTCAGCTTCTCATACACCTCGTGAATGTGGGTTAATTCCTGCAAGAAGACAAATCACAGCAAAAACGTTTAGTTCACTGGTGTGTCTGAGTTACAGCAGGATGAATGTCCCTCTTCTCTCTGCGCTGACCTCCAGCAGCTCGATGTTGATGAGCTCCTGGGGACGAGACGTTTGCTCAATGAAGTCCTCACACGGCACCAAGTGCTCTCCTTTCCTCTTCTTCTTGAAAGCAAGCTGCAGAGGAAGTGGAGGAATGGACAGAAAGCAAATCAGCATGGTAACAAATATAACTGCACGATCAATTGTGCCCATATTCCTGAGCCATGCCTGCCATTTATCTTCAAAAACAAGCGAAAATAAATGATTAGATTAGCTAATCTGTGTTTCTGGTCAGTTTTTCTGTGTTTCTATCATCATGACGTACACTAATAACTATACTAGTTTGGAGTGACATCAGTTGGCGGTTTCCTAGGAGCCAAACTGGGAGAGGGCCACTGGAGAATCCCAGTGTTCAGTCAAATGAGCCTTTCAACCAACAGTACACACCTACACATACACATTTTATATGAATACAAAATATGAGTGTGTGCATGGATATAAGGCAGGCAGCTCACCAGACCCGGCATGGCCGTGAAGTGGAAAGCTTTGAGGAACATCAGGTGTCGGAGGATATACACAACATCGAGGTGCCGAGCGTCCACAGCGTCTTTCTCGAACTTCTTCACGTCCTCCCAGTCTTTCAGCGCCAGGCGGATCTGCAGCCGGAGACGTGGAAACACCTCTATCACGGACTTTATTTCAGTCAGGTCTTTTTAAACGCATGTGTTACGTCCTGACCTGCTCTGAAGGGGAGGCGGTCTGGCATCGATACAGGCTGTACAGCAGGTAAAGTCCTCCCGCTCGGATCTGGAAGCTGTACGGAGGCAGGAAGAAAACGCAGGCCGTGTCCAGAATCAAACGACTGAACAGTCGCTTCTCGCGCCTCAAGGTGCCGCTGAGACACAAGAAAAACACGAAGCACGTTTAAGAAAGATTTGACTGCAGACTAGTGGAAATATTCTCTCTAAAATAAAAGTTCTGATTTTCATTATTAACAGTGAAAACAGACTGGCTGTAGTGGCGTCTAAAGAAAATAACCACCAGAACATATAACAGCACTGTATGTTGTTATTTTGTCTTGTTTTCAGTACAACAATCAAACTGGACATAAAATGTCAATACTCTGTTGGAGCCCTACTCAAGACCTCTATCGGAAAATAAAGAACTTTTTGGTTGAAAATAGTGATATTTAAAAGATAAGCCTACTAGAAAATATGCGAGAACTTCATTTCCCTCCATATTCTGGAGAAAATCTCGAAGCGGACAGACTCTGCTCGCTGGAAGCGACTCAGCAGCTCCTCACAGTCCGACTTCACCTGTTTCCTACAGTAGTCCATCTCACCCCGCTTCATGGTTACAAGTTAAAATAAAACCTCATAGGTTTCATATTCATTATAAACGACTATATTTGTATCATTTCCACTGGGGCCAAAAAAAAAACCCAGATCGTATGGTTGACAGATATATACACACACAATACGACTGTCGAGGATTTAGTGCGTCATCAGAAGCCGACGACTGCGTCACCGCTGATGACACCTTCAAGGATCTCTTGGATAATAAGGAACATTGCCATCAAATTAACAATAATGATTTAGCATAAGGCGGTATGGTGGAGCGCCGGTTAGCGCTGCCCATTTTAAGATTCTTCACTTATTATTCCCGCTCTCGCAGTGTCATTTGCATTTGTGGTTTGGGATTGTTTTTTTTTATTTGCTTAATAAAAATGATTAACACAAAGGGAAAATAAAAGCAAACAAAAAGTCGTTTCAGCTCAATTACTGAGTTCTAAGGGTGTACTTGAACGCGCCACACGGATGTGCATGAGGCGCGTCTCCAGGAAGTAAACAGTCCTCAGCTGACGTGGAGCAGTGGACTGTTGCCACCAGTTAAACTAGAATTAAATTTACTGAGTTATAGAAAAACCTGTCGGTCCAGTAGTTGTCGTGTTTTATCATAATTTAAATTGGCTCAGTTGACGTCGTTTAAACTCCCAGAATAACTTACGGTCTTTGTAAAAAAAGCTCCTCTGTAAAGTAAAATGGCGGCAGCGGAGAGCAGCAGGCCGTTCTCTGGGCTGTCAGACGTCTCCATTTCCGAGGACATTCCGGTGGAGGGAGACATCTCTGTGCCCATCGACTCCTCCAGAAAAGACGACGACTTCTCCACGTTGGATGAGCCGGTGAAGGAGACCATTCTGCGAGACCTGCGGGCAGTGGGGAAAAAGTTCATACACGTCCTGTACCCGAAGCGGAGCTCGGCTCTGCTGCGGGACTGGGACCTGTGGGGCCCGCTGCTGCTCTGCGTGACCCTGGCTCTGCTGCTGCAGGGCGGCGCGGCCGACAACGACGACCAGGGAGGACCGCAGTTCGCTGAGGTAGCTACACATTTTTATCTTCAGTGGAACTGTTTGTTTTCCCATTGCATTTATTCTAAGGGTCCACTTCACGTTAAATTCTGTCGACAAATCTGAGTTTAAAGTGTTTCTTACCGCACAGGAACAGAACCAAGTAAAGCAGCTGTCCCAGATTCACAGTCAGTCACTTTTATAATTGGACTAATTTCATATTTCAGGAGGGAATTGGCACCACAAACCACCATCATCTGTTTGTTGCTTTCATGAGGCATTGCTTGATTGGGTTTGGTCAACATCTGTGTTTATGCATTTTTCAGTTCTGTCAGTTTGAAACTTGGCCTTGGTTTTGGCCCTGTTCACGTTTCTTCTGTCTTCTCAATCTGCTGTTCACCTGTAACACACTGAGTTACATATGAATGGTGTACAAATAAAGTGTGATTTCACTACTTTAACGCTCTTCTCTGACTCCACGCTAATGTGGAATTCTATCAGGTCTTCGTCATCATCTGGTTCGGCTCCATCATCATCACCCTCAACTCCAAGCTGCTGGGCGGCACCATCTCCTTCTTTCAGAGCCTCTGTGTTTTGGGATACTGCATCTTGCCACTGACGGCAGCCATGGCCGTGTGCCGGATCGTCCTGCTCAGTGGCTCGGGAAAGGTCAGCTTCGCTGTGCGGCTGGTGGTGGTCACGGCATCCTTTGGCTGGTCCACCTTCGCCTCCACAGCCTTCCTCACTGGCAGCCAGCCACCCAACCGCAAGGCGCTGGTGGTGTACCCAGTTTTTCTCTTCTACTTCGTGATTGGGTGGATGATCCTGACGTTCTCGCCGCCACAGTAGAGAAGAAACAAAGAATGATTTGAGTTGAACTGACAAAGATGAGGGAGGTTTTGTGGAGTGGTAGGACTCAGACACCAGATTTTGCATTTGAATGAAGGTGAATGGCTACTGAGATGTCTGAGTGTTTCTGAAACAGCATTTAGACTCATGGGACTCCATAGTAATTCTAAACCAACTCCTTCAGGAGCAGCGACGGTCGCACTCAGATTCCGAGAACTCCAGTCGAGACTGAGCTGCAGATGGAGAGTGAAAAAGCTGCTGTTCCTACTTTTCTAGGTTGTCTCCCAGATAGGTTTACCAGCTCTGTATAAAATCTTTAGGCTTGTAAACAGAAATGCTTTATGAATGTTGGAACTGTGAGGGTTGTGATTACTTGTTCTCTCCTCCTGGTCGTTGTGGGTGTTTGAAATCTGCTACTGTCTTAAGCACAGGTGCAAATATAAATTGACAGCCTCCATTTACACACTACATTCTGCATTTTAGGCATTTAGCTGATGCTTTTATGCAGCTTTTTTTAAGAACGCTGACTGTCAAGCAGCTGTGGAGTCACCGTGGCCAACAGTCGTCCATAGTAATACTCGTTTTTCTTTTAGACTTCTGGGGAGATTTTTATTTGACAGATGACGGCAAATGAATGGAGAGGGAGATCTGGAATGGGTATCAGGGACATCACCCACTCATAGGAACAGTTTTGGAAAATATGCATCTTCGCTATCTTGTCGAGAGTTAAATGAGAAGATTGATTCTGGGACTGCAGCTAATGATTTGCTCTTTCAGTCAATACTTTGTTTATTGTCTAAAATTCCACAGACCAAGGTTATGCACTTCTGTTGCTTGTTTTATTCAGTAACAGTTCAACAGTTGCAGCCCTCACGACATTCAGTTTACAATCATAGGGCAGAGAAGGGGCTCAGATCCTCACACTAGAGGTTGGTCCCAGTGAATGTTGGCTGGTTGGTGAGTCAGCTGTTTCAATAATTGATTAATCATCTAAAACTTGCCAAATGTTAAACTTTCCCTGGCTGCAATGCTCCAGTGTGATGCTAACTAATGGGTTTTTGATTCTTGGTTGATTGAACATATCAGGATTTTGAAGAACACTTGTTTTTCACTAGTTTTATTTTCGTAGACCATTCAATAACAATGGTAAACCTAGGTCAGTTGACTCACCTTGCAGCTTTAATTGATGTCACTCTCGTGTCTGTATGGTAAATACAAAGCTACAACAGCAGAGAGCTGAGCTGAGTTTAGCTTAGCACAAAGACTGGGAGCAGGGGGAGACGGCTATCATGGCTTTGTCTGTAGATCAAAAACCCACCTACCAGCACCTCTGAGGTTCACTTAGTGCTGTTTCTCCTACACCTATATATGAGTGGTATTCATCCCACTAGATCTTTGGTAAGAAAGTGAATATGCATATTTTCTGAAATGTCAGTGTCCTAAACTGTTACAGACATGGAAGCACATGTATTTGTGAGCTTCTGCATGAACGTGTTCATTTGTTGTTGGGTAATGTCCCTCACAGACGTGCAGAGGACATGTATGTCCCATGGATCCCTGTAATTTGGGTTTTAGTACATTTTTACTTCTTTTCGCCTCCAACTACTCAGAGCAACCTTACAATGTAGTTGCAGTTTTTTCAGATATCCTCAACTCAACCATTTAAACTGAGTGAAGGTGATACATAGGGTTTTTTCTGTTAGGTGTCTGTCTCTGCTTTGTGATCAATCAGATGATTGATCTTTGACTAACCTGACCGGTTACTTTTGACCCCTTCTCTGTGAACAGGTATCATGTCCCAGATTGCTGGGGCTATTCTTTGTTGATTTAATTTATATCTACTAATTTACATAAAAATTCAAATTAAAATATTTTTGGTCAGCTGTGTTAATTCATGTCTAAATTCTCAGTGTACCTACAGGTGCAGCTCTGTTGATTTATTACATCATAAAAAATCCACTTTAACACAACAAGACCTGAAGATTTGGCAACTGTGCTTCAGTGGGTAGAGCAGTTGTCTCCCGATCGGAGGTTCAAATCTCGCTGCCTGTGGTCCACACGTCGAACTGTCCTTGGGCAAAGACACTGAACCCCCAACTTGCCCCCCAAAAGTTAGAGCCATTGGTTGAGTTGGCGCTGCAGGTGGCTGCCTCAGTTCTGTACCGGAAACAAATTCCTTGTAACATACTTAAATATAATTTAATTCTATAACTGTCACATTTTTGTGAAAAAGGAAGGACAAGAGTAATTCAATTTAGTAATTGAAATAGACCACTAAAAGGAGATAAAATAGTTCAGGCTGAAATAATCAAATAGGAAATTTATCAATGTAAGGCTTGTGAGTAAAATATTTTCATAAAATCATAACACAAGCATCTTTTAAACTTCTTTTTAAAACACTATTAATTTGACCTACAGTATATATGTATATTTTTACCTTTAATGCAAACAAAATGAAGCACCCTGTACAACAAATGAAGTGTTGCCCATAGTGCTTGTAGACATATAGACTGTAGAAATACTAATATGCCCAGAGCTAACAGTAGAAAAGAAGGTAAAGTGACTTCAGCATACAAATACACTGCAAATCTTACAATTATTATGTTTTCACAGCTTTACGTTAACAGTCAGTTATAAATATCATGTAGTGTTTGATGTAGCCTCGATATTCAGTCAAAAAAGAAATTGGCTTTTTCTAGAAATTTTAATTTGAGTGTAAAATCTGGACAGTATCTGCTCCCCCTCACTGTGTACCTCTCTGTACTGGGGAGGAAGAGGACCTCTGCCTAATGAGGATGTCATCAGTACAGATTCTTTTATGTGATGCTTCTCCAAACCTTGTGTGTGTGTGTCCCATGTATATAAATTAGTTGAGTTCTCTTTTACTCTTTGAGCCTCAGTAACAGATCTCTGAATCCTGTTGTAGACTGCTCCTTATAAAAACACTAAAGACATATTTACCTCAGATCTCTTTATTTCACTCACTGAAGATTGTTTCATTTTAGTACAAGAAGAATTTTTTCCTCGACACCAAGAGGCCAGATTTCTTCAGCTTCGTCGAAACCAGTCCCTGTTCAATATAGAGCTTCAATATTATTATGATTTTATCTATATAATGTTTAAGAACGAGAAAGCTTTATGGACATTTCACGTTTTGGGAAGCAGTACTGGGGGTATTGTTAATGGAATATTTCAGGTGTTTTGTTATTCAACTTCTTTGAGTTGTAATCCTTAATACTCCGTGCACCTTTTATTTTTGTGACGTCACTGCGGTCCCAATAAAGGTTGTAAAAAAATTTGCTGCGCCGGTTTCGCAATGTAAGTGTCGTCATAACTGTGCGACAGCCACACAAAGAGGCTACTGTGTTGTGTACATGTCAGCTACGTAGCTGTGTTCGTGTATAATGTAAACGTTTAAATAAGAAATTAACGCTGTTCGTAGAGTTTAACATATAATTACGCACAAAAGACGTTTCTGCAGGTTTGGTTTGAATACAGACCTATTTATCGTTACACGTTTCCTGGCCTCCTGAATCGGCCTGCCTTCAGTTTACAGATGGAGGACCTGCCGCAGCTTCCACCCGAGGTGTGGGTCTACGTGTTCAGCTACCTGAGCACGGATGAGAAACAAACGGTCCGCATGTGCTGCAGGTACCTCAAGAAGCTCATCGACCACCCGTCCCTGTGGCGGGACTACACGGTGGTACTGTCCGACCTCCGCCGCTACACCTATGGCTTCTGGGATACCCTGCAGAACCGCAAGCTCACTCGGGTGGCGGTGCGCCACCTGCGACGTAAAGAGTGGCGGAGGCTCATCAAGTTTCTCCCGTCGCTCACCGCCATCGTGTTCGTGGATGGAGGCCGGCTGTACAAGGAGAAATACCTGGATAACCTGTCGCGGTTCTCCGACCTGAGGGACCTCGGGGTGCGGAACGCTACGTGGGACGAGCCGATGCTGGGACGGAATCTGACCGAGAGGATCCAGGAGCAGCTGACTCACCTGAGCGTATGCAACGTGCGGCTGCCCTGCACGGTGGAGTTTATAAACGCCGTGTCGCACCTGGTCAACTTGCGGTACCTGCTCTTCCACCAGCAGGGGGAGGGCTACGGGCTGGATACGGTGAGGCCGGTGCCCCGCAACGTCTTCCACCACCTGCTGCTGGAACTGTGAAGCATCTGTCCTGGGGGATGAGAGGGGAACCGCCAGAGCCGCTGCCTGACGACTACCTCAGCCCTCCGGACCCGGAGCAGCCAGGTCAGCCTCTAGCCACCTGTCGGGGTGGCCTCCTTACCTTACCACAGATTTTAGGATTTGGTTTAGATTTAAGTAAATTGTTGGTTTTTTTCAATGACACAAAGGAAGATGAGAAGCTCTGTTCTGATATAAAAAATACAGATATTTTTGTCAAATGACAAAACAGTTAAGTTAAAAATTTCAGTACTGTGTTTTTATCAAAGTGGCACATTTAATTAACTCAGTGACTGTGGTCTTAGCTCAAGTCTGACCTTTGTTTCAACTTTCTACTACTTGTAACTAAGGCATAAAATACCCTGACAATACAACCAACACTGAACTTTGACAGACCTCTGCCTCGTCCTCCTGTCTTGGGTCCTGTAGGGGTGGCCCGGTACGGCGGCCCAGCATTGATCAGCCTGGAGCTGGTGGATTACCCAGAAACTATCCTGCCAGAGAACGCCCTGAGGAGTTTGACCTCGCTCAGGTCGCTGACCATCCGCTACAGGTACATCAGAGAAGGCATCGAGTGTCGCCTCAGGTCCTGGCTCAGCCCACTCCAGCAGCTGAAAACACTCACCATCATCGGTCAGTCTGGCTGGTATTCACATTTTGTTTTTGCTCGTCTACTTGTGTCCAAACTTTGTCCGGTGTAATTTCTTGGCTACTTCCTCCACTGTCAATTAGTCCATGTTTTTCTAAGCCACTTACCCACTTCACAAGACAAACGCAGATGTCATAAGGCGCTGTTTGCTTTGCACTGTTCTCAAGCTGTTTCCCAAATTAAAACATAAGTGGGCGATAAGGGCTCTTCATATTTAACAGTGATAATGGGTAATCAATTACTGTATGTGAGTGAACATCAGTACCTTAAAGTGACCTTTCCTGCTGTTCTGTCCTCCCAGGTGGGAACTCTCTCGCTGCCTATACAACCACCATCCCATCCAGCGTCACCAGACTGACGCTGCGTGTGGCCATCACACTGAAAGACATGGACTCCATTGCACCTAAAGTCCCGGCACTCAAGCACCTTGACATCGAGCAGAACCGCTCCAGCGGCAGCCTCTGCAGACGAATCCCAATGCTGTTTCCTCAGCTCAAGACGCTCAGGATACGGTGAGTCTGACAGGGACTGCTCAGGGTTTGGTGCTGGAGATTTCACACAACCCAGCAATGCTGTCCACTTACTTCATATAAATCTATTCTTTAGTTTCAGAAATATCTGGACAGTTTGGCTCCAGAATTTTGTTATTTAGGATTTGAGAAGAAGTGGCGATGTGGAAGTGTGTCATCAGTCTGAATGCGCTTCCATAGATGTTCCTTTTAAATCCTGTAGTAAAAGTCTTTCCTGTCTCCTCACTCGTCTCTCAGATTTTTCCGCCGGGAGCCAGAAAAAGACCTGCTGAGCCTCCATCGGCTGCGACACCTGGTGCAGCTGGAGCTGCTGGTGGAGCGCTCATTCATCCTCAGAGATTACCTGAATGGTCACCCCTGGCCCAGCCCCTGTGTACAGGAGCTGATCAGCCAGCTCAAAGAGCTGTCCGAGAACAGGATCGTCGTCATCACCACAATGCGCCAGAGAAACCCCCTACGAGAATGTGACTGTTTGTGGGAAGGGGACTGAAGAGGGGAGTACAGGTGCTGGGAAAGCAGTTTTCTTCTTCCAGAACTGAGAAGAAGAGTCACCAGCAGAGTTGGGAGCAGAAGCAGGACAGTGCAGTAAATCAGAGACTACATCAGTGGATGATAAGAGGACATGCTACTTATTTTTGAAGTAAACGGTGTTTGTTTAAATGATTTTGAAAATCGGATGATTTTCAGACTTTACAGTCATAAGTCATGAAAGGCCTAAGTATGATAATTACTGGATGGTGAACTGAAGAGAACTCCCTGAAAACGAAGCAGACTGCGGGGTGACAAACGAAGAGATGTGTGTACAGGCCGACAGCTCCTCTCTGACTGGAAACTCAGCATACATTCTCATTGGCAGCTAAAATAAAATCACAGCCAGCATTGCTGCTAGCATGAGCAACTAGAGGCCAGGAGCTAGAGCAGGTTCCCAGTCAGCGAACCTCTAGCTGGCCTTTACTCTTTATTTTTGGTCAAGGTTCAGTGTTGAAAACCTACAGATAATGTTAGCAGCGTCTTGGAGCTTCTTCTTTTCCCTTGGTTTGTTCCTATCAACTTGAACACAGCTGGTACATGGATTAGTGTATGCGTGCTGCATTGCAGGAAATATGCAATACCTATTCAAAGAGCGTGATCTAAAGCTACAGTATGTACACACAGCAGGCTGCAGTGGCTCAGATCGGATTTATTTGACCCTATGTGACCCCGATGTGATTTTATTTCTTTTTTTTAATGGCAGTTTGAAGAGCACTGAACACATGGAATCAAATCTTTTCCAGTTGCTATTTGGGCTACTTCAGGATGGAGTCTGATCTTGGCCACATTTTGAAAGATAATGTGAACATCCACAGAATACGAATCAAAGAAAAGAAACAGAATTTAGCACTAAGGCTTGCAGTGTGAACGTTGTGCAAGTTTTCCTGTACAACTAAAGTTTTCTTCTTTTTTTTCTCAGTCCAACTGATTCTGTTCTCATTTTCCTGGTCACTGCTGATACAGAGTTTTTTTCATTTCCTTGCAGTTATTAATCAGAGAAATGTCCACATTAGTAAAGGAGATATGTTCCTCAGCTACAGTATACAGTCTAAACAATACGAACAAGATATAGTCATCTAAACTAAGAGTATTCAGGCACTGTCAAGCTCCTACTTGTAAACAAAATCATTGATGATTTCAGAGTCACTTTCAGGACGCACCTATGTTACTCTTACTGATGCCACATTCAGTTAAAAGGCCCCCACCAGCCCTGAATGTCTCCTCCTAACACATCCTTTGTGTTTGTCACAACCTGATATCTCTCCTCCCTCTGTGCCACAAAGCTCCACTGTGTTCAGAGACTGTTAACACCCACCAGTGACCACACTGCTGCATCGGCTGACATGTTCCTTCGTCACCAAGAACACACACTGGAGTTTATTCTGACTGTCCCACAACCACCGTCCTGCTGCCACAAATACTCATTGCAGACCAAATGTGGATTCCTCTGCTGCTGAAAATATTCCCCAACTAATGCACTTTTCTACTATTTCTGTAACATTTGATATAATTATTGTTCAGCTGTTGTAGGAAATGACTGAGCTGTTAAAAAACAGATTTCAGATGGTTTTCATAGTTCATGCCTACAGTAGGAACAGACCAGGACATTATGGATGATATTTGTTGACCATTACAAAAATATAGTTTAGCACCAGAATTATGTTTTAAAGTACAATTCCTACAGCACAGGCTTCTTTTAGAGTTAGACTCTGTGCATGCACATCCTTGGAGAGGTGGCAGTGGTTCAGTGGGTAGAGCAGTCATCTCCCAACCAGAAGATTGAAGGTTAGAATCTCGGTGCCTCCAGTCAAAGTGTCCTTGGGCAGGACACTGAAACCCCCGTTGCCCCCGATGGTTAGAGCCATCGGTTGAGGTGGCACCGCAGATGGCTGACATTGATTCTGTACCGGAAACGAATTCATTGTGTGTAACATACTTGACCAATAAAGGTGATTATCCTTATCCTTACCCATTCTGTGAGGTAGAAAATCAGCTGTTATAGGAAAATAGTCTGACAGAACTCTGGAAATGTCTTCAACAAGCCTTAATACACTGCCAAAATGTTTTGAAGTGAATAACTGGTGTGTAGCTGCAACAAAGATTAAACTGATGATTTGATTTGATTTGATTTATTCTTTCAAACATGTAACAACAGTCAATATGTCAACACACATAATTCCACACATATCCACAAATATATTATCAATGTGCTTATACCTAGTACATGCTTGAACGGAGTAGGAAGAAGTCAGACTTATCCAGTCCTACCCCATGACATCATCTTACCGTCATTGGTTTGCAAGCAGTATCTCTACATAAATAATTCTCTTCTACACCACACAAGTAATATATTAAAGAATTATAACAGTGTTAACATTCATACACCACACCCACAATGTTCCATCTAATTAATCATTAAACCTGTTCTTGCATATATCTTGATTGACACATACCTTTATATTTATGTTTAAACATCAATTCTATTACTGTTTTTTATGTCTACACTTAAATTATTCCATAGTTTTACCCCACTTATGGAAATACAGAATCTTTTTTTGGTTGTACGTATAGCATGAATTTTATAATTTAACTGACCCCTTAAATTGTATCCCCCTTCCCTTTCATTAAATAGTTTTTGAATTCCACCAGGTAATAAATTGTTCCTGGCTTTATACATAAACACAGACGTCTTATCAGTCAGTTAAAGCAGCAACGTCTATAAAGCCAAAATCCCAAATACTATACAACGTAACAAGCACTTCCCTGCTGC